TATTCAACCAACAACTTAATTAATCTTCATTTAACTAAATAAATCAATATAACATGCTATTAGTCCATCACTTGGGGCCGATTGATCCCTTCTTGTAAAATGTGCTTAGAACTATCAAGACTTAAATTTTAACCTCAGGTTTCCTTCCCTTTTTCTTAAAAAAATTTCTTCATTGTTCAAAAAATATATATATATAGCTTGCTATTAGAGTAAGTAAAAGAATGAAAAGAATATATATATATCTTTTATTATATATAATTTAAAATTAAAATAAATATTTACTTGCAAAACTTAATTATGGTAATTTGTTTTCTAGAAAAAGGTACGGAGATGGGTAAGACTTGGCCTTAGCCATAGTTCTAGTCGTTATAGCAATAATGCAAAAATTCCACTATATTCAAAGGAAAAAAAAATTTACTGGATCTTATTATGAATTTGAATATGAAACAAGGAAAATATTATTACTTACTAAAATTTTGCGGCCCAAATTATAATAAAGAATCAAACCTGCTTTGTCAAGGACAAAAACAGTGGTGTTATGCACGTAGTTGGTACAATATTATCAAAAAGCCAAAAAAAAAAAAAAATCCTGAATTTTTGCACCGACCTTAGTTAGGATGTCAGTTTTACGTTATTTACTTCCCACAAAATCATGTCTAATTTGAACGGCAACATAACCTCCGTATCGATAATATCTGCATGTGTGATTCGACTAATGGAGAGCGTGAACAATATTTCAATTGCTGTAAAGGAAGTCATCTTCAATAACAAGTCTAAAACTTTCGAACTTTAGCGAACCCATTACTTAGGTAATTTTGTAATAATTTAATTTTAATAAAAATAAAAAATTATAAATTTAAATTATATAGTATGTAAATGAATTAAATTAAAAGATAAGAAAAAATAATCTTATATTACACAATCTAAAATAAAAAAGAAATTCAACCTTTCGGGTTAAAGAAATTTCTTTCAGAAAAAGAGAAAGAAGAAGAAGAAAAAAAGAAAAAAAAAACTTGTATCAGAAAGAAAGTAGAGGGTATTACTCCACAATTTTTAGCCTGGATTCAAATTAATGTAAAGGAAAAATGCTAAATTTTTAAAAGAAAGAGAGGGGAAGTGCATGGGGTCGTGGTCATTTCTGGAATTGGGAACACAGCTAGTAGGGTCGGGTCTGCAGCTATGTTTTGTCTTTTTTAACGTTGGCTTTCTACTCCTTTTACTCTTCATAAAAACCCCCCATACCCCATATCATTCTCTTCATCATTTCATGTTCACCAAACCCACCCCACCTCCCCCTCCCCTCTCTCTTTCATCCCCCTTGAAGATAGGCGAGACTCTTGGGGGTTAAACAGAAAAGATAGACCACAGAAAACAAACACACCCACTTGATCAAAATTCCAACAATTCACAAGTACTTTTGAAGGTGGGAGCTTCTCTTTTGAGGGGAATGTTGTCTGGCTCGAGGACACTTCCAGCCATATCTACCTTACTGTTTCAATCAAAGGATGGATTGACTCCATGTTAATTAGTAGTGTCGTCGGACCAGGCTTCATTCCCCCCAATTATTGCTTCCATGGACAGATCAGATCCTGTGGCTTTCATGGTACAGGTTTGGTTTTTACTGTACTTCTTATTTTTATCTACTACTTGGGGAAATTTTTGGGTTTTTAGATGTTGGATCTTTTGTTTTTAGAGCAATCAAGGCTATTAGTCATGTGCAGATTGGCGCAATGATGAAGCATTTTGACCATTCTGAGTAAAGGTTTCATCATTAATACTCTTTTTCTTTTTTATTTTAGATCTCTGATGATGTTATGACCGTGTTTTTTTGTCAGTTGAAAAAACAAAAAAAAAAACCCCTTTTCCTGGTTCATCATTACAGAGATCCCTTCTCATGATGGTTTCCAGTTCCTGATCTGTCTGTTTCTGGTAACGTTTTTCAGATCTCGTTTTGAACCTAGGCAAACATTCTCTCCTTTTGACCCCCATTTCTCTTTCTCTCTCTTAGGGTTTCAATATTGCAGATATATTTGCAGATTTTCTCTGCTCTAGTCCCAAAACAAAAATCTTTCAACTTTGAAGTTTTGTAAAGGTGTACAAAGCAAGAAAAGGCTTGCCTTTTTCTTTTACTGTCTCAAAACTCAAAAGCCTGATACCAAATCTTGATGGGTATATCTGGCAATGTATTCTTTTGTGAAAATAGGGATTTTGATAATTTGATATGATCTTACTAGAGGGATCCAACTCATCAAAGATCTCTGTTTTGATGGGTAAGTTCTTTTCTTTTTTTTTTTCCTCTTAAATTAAATATATCCATTTAATTTCCTCAATTCTTAAAAGTAGCATTTCATCAGATATTTTCCATCACTAAATATTAGAAATTTATTTACCTAGGTTACAAAAGCCTAAAGTTTTGACATTTATTTGATGAAGGAATGATTAGGAATAAAAGTCCATTGCGCATATGTTTATTTTGTTAACAACTTGTCATCTAGCTTATCCATGTTCTTTGAATAATGGACGAGATCACGTTCTGTTGGTGTAGATTTTTGTCACTAGACAATGACATTATGGCAGCTCTTGTGGAAAAAGAGAGGTCTATGTGGGCATTGGAAAATCCACATGACTAACCTAATCTCCTTATCTAAAACCCTAAATCAACATTTCAGAGTCTCCAATCTAAGTTTTGCAAATTTGTTCTTTCCCTCAACCTGTATTTCCTCTTTACTCTGTTTCAAAAAAAGCTTTTATAGACAGTCAACACTGGAGATGTGGAAAAAGAGAGTATTAGTAGTTTATGCTTCATGTTTTGGAAAGTAAAGGACAACATTAAGGAAGTATGTATGAGCAGGAGAAGTCATGCTTAAACAAGTAAATGGAAGAATGAATTGTAGAAGCTAGCTTTTCCCCCCATGTTTGTGCTTTCTTTGGTACATTTTAAGGGAATTAGTGAAGCAAACCGAGGGTGAATATTTATTTATTTCCCATCAAAACTTTTCCATAATTTGCTCTCCCTTTTTTCATGCCATGCTGATGAACACATGATGACACAGTTGAATAGAAACATTGTCAGAATGAGTTAAGTAGGCTTTCAATAGGCTGCTATATATACCATATGTACCAGCTCTAGTAGCCATTTACATCATAGACATAGACTCTCACGCGCCTTCACAGACACACATGCTTCACAAAACGTCAGCATGAAATTGTGCCATGGAAATCTCTCTTTCCTACTAGAATCTGGGAAGCAAATCTCGGTTTTTTAAGTATTGTTACCCCTTAATACAGTGAGAAACACCACATTTCTTCTGGTTTGAGTTAAGAGGATGTATATGATGTATACCATGTATGCACTCTACCCATTTTCTTCTCTCTTTTGTTTTCTTGTTCATTGCTGTTGAGAATTGGAGATATGGTATGAATGCTGTCTCCTAAAGAAGAAGCTTTTGGGAAATTGGAGCTTTTTGACCCTATAAATGTAAAGTAAAACCCTTTTTTGGATTTGCTAACTTTTTATTTATGATTTTCGAGATCCATAGAGATGTTTTTGTTGGGGGGCCATGTCTGATGATGAATTTATCTTGAAAAAGTGTTGTCAATCGACCACACAACCTTTCCACAAAGGACTAAAATCTTGTAGTATTACATCAACCCTTATTGACTTTGCATTCACACTAAAGACCTGTGTAAATGAATTGACTATTGAACCACAATTTTGTGTCTAAACATTGATCGTTAATTATGGATCATGGGCATCTAAATTGACATTACATAACCTTTTATGGGAATAGGAAGAATATGGTTTGATTTATGTCAGATGTGTTAAATTGCCAACATCAAATGTAGCTTCACTAGTGTCTCCATCTTAAATCTATCTCCTCGTTTCAGATAAGAATTTAAATTTACACTTTTAAAATGTAAACAAAAAAATTTAATTTTAATCAAAATCATATTAATCAAAATCAAAAAAAATTATTTGTATGGTTTTGTTCACATTCAATGTCAGATTAGTCAAGAAAAAGTGGACCTTCAGTTTCTGAAACTGGGAAAACCTGGACCTAACCCAAAATTTGTTCATAGTAGAGAAGCCGGAAGGTCCAGTACGAGCCCAAAGTTATTGGGCCGTTGATGAATGCTAGAAGTAGTACTGAAGTACGAAAATAACTCTCGTAGCCTCTCATCCATATGGGCCAAAAGTTCGGTCCATTATATTTCTCTCATTAACCCACAATCCCAATCCAAAATCCCAAACCTCAAATGGAAAATATTTTTCCTTTTATCCACCGGGAAGAACAGCTGCATTTTTTTCCCTTCCGTTGACAGAAAAACAGAATTGATGGTGTAAGAAAAGAAAAAGTTTTCCGTAATAAATATATTTATATATATAATAAAAATAGAGAGGATATAAATTTACATTGAATTAATAAAAATTAATTTTTAATTTATCAAACGTCTAATTAAATTTATTTATATA